TTCAGAGTTGAGTGTTCTCATTCTCAAGCTCTTGGACTTTAGCTTTAAGTTTCTCCATGTCTTCGGGTAAGATCGTTTCAGGCTCAGGATTCTGTGGGAAAGCAGATTCGTCAAAGACAAAAGGTAATCTGACTTCTTTCACTCTCTCTTTCACCCATTGAACATAGGGTTCACGAGCAATGATATTCTTCCTCCCATTGTCTGGATTGCTTTCTTACAGCCGGATCATTTGGATCGACCGTATTGACAAGGAACGACACCAAATCTTCCTCTCTAGGAGGGCCGTCCATGGAGTGTCCAAACTGTCTTTTGAGTAACACCGGGTTGTAATTGATGCAACCTCGTGTTCCCAAGAGAGGCACATTGGGAAATTCTCCGCAAGAAAAGATGATATTTCTAGTTTCTCACTCCCTTTTGTACCTGTCGCACCTCGAAAAATCACGGAGACATTTCGGAGAAAACGACCCTCGCGCGAAAGGCGCGGAAATGCGGTTCGACAGAGTCACCACCAAACTTTATTTTTTCCGAATAAACGGGATAGGAAAATATCGAGAAAACCTCTTAGAAACGAAAGGATAGGAACAGGGTTGTCGCAACCAAGTTCCGGGTTCGGGAGTCGGTTACGTGAGGGGAAGGTATTAGCACCCCTCACGTCCGTCGTACTCGACGGGAACCTCTTAAGGTAATTGTGGGGAGTGTTGTTTAGGTTTATTTGTTTTCTTCTCGTTGATGAAGGTAGAATTGGTAGGTTAAAAGGTTAAAGACGCGAAGGAGAGATGGGTGGTTAGAAGATGGGGTGCTCACCAAGGATTGGGGCCCTTGTGCCTACGTATGCTCATTCGGACGAGAATGAGAAATCAGAGCGTCGTAGTTCGACTACGGGAAAAGATGGGGGGAAATGGGAGATGGATAGAAGATAGAAGTGTGGAATAGGGGAGGAAATGGAAAGTGTGCTCGCCAAGATCATCGCAATCTTGTGCCTACGTATCTTATATTCAAGAATGAATAAAGAATCAGAGCGTCCGTAGTTCGTGGTAACGACCACGAAAAGGATGAGGTTGAATAGATCGGAATTTTGAGAAAGAGACGAAAGGGTGACTGACAAGCAACCCAAGAGCGCGTTTCAAGAGCTTGTCACTCAAGAATTCAAGGAATGCGAGATTCCAAGAACTCAGTTCTTTCGGGAATTGACTGAGTAAGTTGAAGATAAAGAGTTGGATGTTTTGAAATCAAAAGAATAAATTAATAACAACTCGAGGGCGCGCCTCGAGAGTTACTCATTCGAATATCCAAAGAATGCTAGATTCTGAGAATATCCCTCTTTCGTAAGTTTTTAAAAAAACGTATGTGAAAAGATCGAATCGAAAGATGGCATGCGAGGCCAAAAGGAAGTTGTTTTGAAGTAGCTCGACGACGTGTCGAGGATTTGATTGAAAATAGAACTGCCTTGACGACGTGTCAAGGGTTAAAAGGTGAGAAACGATATTAGTCCCTAAGGGTGCCCCCAATATCGAAACCACGAGGAGTTGTGAATGAAATGGGTTGCGAATGCGGACGAGCATTCGACTTAGGTGAATGTTTGAAAGTGATTGAATCTGAAAGAGTCGAAAGGTTGAGTGAATAACAACTCAAGAGCGTGCCTCGAGAATTATTAACTCGAAGATCCAAGAAATGCTAGATTTCAAGAATCTCCCTCTTTCGGAGTTTTAATCGATAAAATATTGCTGAAAGTAATTTGAAATGAAATTAGGAGCACGAAAAAGAGTTTACGGCACGAGAGGTGAGAATACGAGATTGAATTTGAAAGGTATAGGAGAAATGACGATTATTTAATAAATGAGACGTCGGCCTCACAATCAATTAATCGGGGTATTATCGAGATGCTAGATCTTGACGATACATTTTTCATACATAAAATGTTTGAATGAACAACGGGAATATCACACAGAATTGCTGGATTCTTATGATATTTCTTTGTCCAAATAGGAGAATGTTTAAAGAGCGAAGAGTTTGAACAATACATTATTTAAGGTGTACACCTCAATAATATCCATTCGGAAACTACAGAAATGCTAGACTTCAAGAGTTTAATTTTTCGTAATTTGGTTTAAAAATAATTTAATATTTAAAGAGGAAATTATTAGTTTTGAGGATGATTTATCTGAGAAAATAATTTGTATATAAAAAAGATATTGGAATGGAAACAGATAAAGAAAGATGTCAATTTTGAAAAGAAAGTATGAAAATAGTCTGAAGTTTTAATTAGAAAATGATTTAGGATTGTCTCAAAATAACTATCTATTAAATTGAATATAAATCAATTTTGATTTTAAAAAATGATGATTATTGGCATTTAGAAATGTTTAATGAAATTTTATTTGCTCCAAAGTTTTTTCTTTAAAATAGAATCTCCTCTGAAATTGCCTTATTAAAAAAAAATACTTAAAAAAGAATGATTTTGATTTAATTTATAAAATACTGTTTTAATGAACAACAAAAGTGTCACGTGGAGTGCTAGACTCCAATGACATTTTCTTGTCTAAATAATTAAAGGGTGTGTTTTATAATGAAAATTCGAATGTTACTACCCAAGGCGTACGCCCCAATAGTAATTATTCAAGAACTTAACAGATGTTGGACCTTAAGAGTTCTTTACATTGTTAATTAAGAAAATGTTGTGTATTGAGAATAAATTGGTTTAAGAAATTAGTATATAATTAATCATATTTTGAAAATACAATTTAAAATAATCCAATGATTTTGTTTAGAAAATATTTTGGAATTGTCCTTAATTAAATGGAATATTCCAATTTGGAAAATGCTTATAAAAATAACTTGAGGTTAATTGTCACTCAATTAGTAAAAATAAAATCTAAATAAAACATTTGAGCTGAAACATTATTTGTAATCAAATTAAGTGAATGATGAATTTTCCTTAACAAACCCAAGACTTAGTCTCCTGCATAAAGTTAACATCAGTATAACCAAAATAAAAATGATGGCAGAAATCTACAACAGCCTCCAACAGAGCAACTTAAATATCAAGAGAAAACTCACGCAATGCCTTTCATATTCACAACAACACACACATAATGGCGACAACAAATATAAATTTGAACAAAAATTCAACGAAAAAGTAACAGAGATTCGACATCAACACAAGACCAGTTATTAAAACGAAATCCTAAACTTATGATATTCACAGCAAGTTATGATGACGGTGCGAAGCCGTCGATTTGAAAATGTTACCGAAACGTTGAATTTGTCGTCGCTTGGAAGTGCTGCCATGAATTAAAGCTTATGCCATTGTCGTGCCGTTACGTGTTGTCTGAAACATCTTCGCAGTCTATGCATTCCTTGCAACCTCATAAACATGAGTTTAGCAGCTCATCGACGTTGCTCAAAACTCGAACTTTTCGATACGAAACTGCAACAATCAACACACTCGAGCCTGAATCCCGGATTCAACCTCAAACCTGCATAACAAGTCAGTCACAAACAATAATACAGGCTATCTTGTGTGACGTTAACAAATTCCAAGTTATCCAAAACAACAGAATAAATTAAACTAGTTCCATGAATGGTGATTGTTGTGCTTTAGGCCATTGCTACTCGGTTCCTATCATGGTATATTTCGAGCGATGCAGGGATCAACTGTTGTTCCGTGTCATTCGACTTCATACTTGTTATTGCGCAATCAACATTCAACGACGCCGTAACTGAGATGGGATTGTGCACTGGAGATGCAGAGTTGTAGTTGTTGTAGTGTTACAATTGGATGGAACCAATATTGCCAAACCAACCTCAACCTGCACACGAACAAACAGAACAGCAAATAATACAAAAAGCTGAAAACGAAAAAATAAAGAGCTAAGCATATACGTCCATTCTCCACCCTCTTTGCCTCCGTAAACTTGAAACCTGCATAATTTGTATCAGTCACAAACCGTTGTTACTGACTCGCCGCAGTTATGGCAATGTTGTTATTGGTGTTTGAATCGAACCAATGTCATTAATTACCCTCAACCTGCACGCAAACAAACAGAGCAGCAAACAATACCAAAGTTGAAAAATGAAAAATAAAGAGCTAAGCATATACAATCCGTTCTCCACCCTCTTTGCCTCCATAAACTTGAAACCTGCATAATTTGTATCAGTCACAAACCGTTGTTACCGACTCGCCGTAGTTATGGCAATGTTGTTATTGGTGTTTGAATCGAACCAATGACATTAATTCCCCTCAACCTGCACGCAAACAAACAGAGCAACAAACAATACCAAAGTTGAAAAATGAAAAATAAAGAGCTAAGCATATACAATCCATTCTCCACCCTCTTTGCCTCCATAAACTTGAAACCTGCACATGAAATTAACAAGGGACCACAAAACAATCTTTATGGAAACAGAATTGAATGCAAGTTTCTGAGCTGCTATGATGGACTCAACTCTGAAGTGAAGCTAAAGAAAAGAGTAGTAAGATCGTTTGTTTCTTCCTTCATACATGTCAAACAAGAGAGGAGGAAGGAATATCAATTTGTTTTTATTTATTAATACTAACAATCAAAGGAGGGACCAATATCGGTTCTTGAAACATCTAATCCAATCAGATTAAGAAGCTTATGCCAAAGATGTGAAACCGTACTCCACTTCATACTTGGTGTCCCCGCAACAGAAAGGAAACGAACTGATTGCACATTTCCCAATGCAAGCTCATCAACACTCAGGCAGTCGATGAACCCGATATCAGTCAGCTTAGGACAATAGTTAGCCAATGCATTAATAGCATCAGCATTTACATCCCTAATGCCTGAGAGCCCGAGTTTATTCAAATTAGGACAGCAATGAGCTATTGATTTTATAGCATCACTAGTGACTTTATCACAAAAATCTGGTCCAAGCTGAAGACTCTCAAGTAACTCATGCCGGGCTGCAACGACAGCAAGAGTTGCATCAGTCATCTTCCTACAACTATCCCCACTTATTTCACGCAAGTTCTTAGCTCAAAGATGAAGCAGTGCATCGGCAGACTCCGCCCCACGAAACCTAAGCTTCTGCAGATGCACACATCTAGAAGCAAGTGAAGATGCAACATTGGTATCAAACTTGTGTGAACGAAGATCCAAAGAAGTCCACAAACACGGAGAGTTCCTGAGAACCCTCCATGTCTTACAAGTTGCTGATAAACTAGCTCGGTCTCGATAACTCAGACATGACAGTAGTTGAATTACCGTATCATCAGGTAAGCTCCTCCAATCAACAACTCCTCCAGGCTCCAAATTCGCAACCTCATCTTCAATTCCAGGGAAACTCGAAACCATATTCCCTTTTCCTTTTCTTGCCACTTTCCTCCTCACTCTTCGGCTCATATTTCAACAAAGTCACACCAAAATCAGCATCTACACCTGTATGCTCGACGGCAAGCTAGCTGAGATATTTCCAGAATTTGTGACTATAAAACCGAAGAAAGCCCCAAATACAGAAACTATGCACAAACAGCAAAACAATATACCTCATCAAGAGACATAATAGAACTGGCAAAATGATTTTCAGAGTACTATGAGTCCAAAATCCACACTATGCTCATGCTGAGGCGCAACAAACCAGAACAAAATTTAAATATTAACCAAAAATGAAGGGTTACCACATGCCTCTACTTTGTTCAGAACTTCACCTCCGATAGGATCATCAAAACCGACAAAGAGAAAAGCTGTGACGTCAAAACATTACTGAAACACCAAATGTCTTGTCGTTGGAAGTAACGCTGCGTGTGTCGAATTGATAGTAGCGAAATCGTATTGCTTCAAACCCTTATTGCGTAATAACGAGAAAAAGGCGACTTGCAAAGTCGCAACAAAAATTAGATGCAATTTGTTACGCCGAAATCTTTGAGTCTTTTAGGCACGTTGTTGTCGCAAGGTTGTCGTTGTGAGCAGCTACGAACTCACGGCTGTCCAACTCGGCTGTCCAACTCATATGGAAAGTGGATCACTTGTCCAAAAACGGAAAGTATAAAGGGTTAACGGTGGTGGTGAAGGGTTTATCTTTGGATGATTGAGGATGATAATGAAGAGACCTTTAGGTAATGGTGATGGAATGAAGAAGAATACGAAAAATAATGGTGTTTTGAGGGAGTAAAAGGAGGTGTCCGGCGGTTTTGATGGAGGAAGAGGATGAAAGAATTTGGGGCTTCATGTGAGGGTGAGTATGAATCGTGTTGGTTCGATGATGATATTGAAACGGAAGGATGAGGTTGAGGATGGAGGCGGATTTGGTGATTTAGGGTTTTAGGGTGAATTGGGGCGGCGGCCGCTTTCAGAGAGGAATCGAATTAGGGTTTCAATCCACGTGAACAGTAGTCTCCCTCCTCTTTCTGAATCAACCTTCCTCTTCCCTTATAGTATCCAATCGTGGGCCTCCAAATTGGGCCAACCGTATCATTGTCCCCTTTCCAATCTTCATTCTTCTTTTTTTAATTTTTCTAATTTATTAACAATAAGATTAAAAAATAAAAAACTAACAACTCTAATAAATAAATAAATAAACAAAAAACAAATGAATAAATATTAATAATAAACATCAAATAAATATTAAAAGGAATATATATATATATATAAAAATTAAAAAAAATAATTACTCAAGACATTAGTAATATTTTAAAATAGAAAAACTTAAGAAGATAATATTTACAAAGAAAAGTTGTTAGGCCACGTGTCACACCTTAATTGGTCAGAAAGAAAATTTTTGAAAAACGCCCAATTTCGGGTGGACACGTGTCTAAATGGCATGAAACGATAAATGGAAAATATTTACAAAAGGGTAGGACAAATTTAGGGTATGACAGTACCATGTAATGGAACTAGCGGTGAGCGAAGCAAATCTTTGAGGCCATGAGAGTTTCTCGAAAGCGAAAAGACCTTTTTCAAGCATTTGGGTTCTTAGCCACTTATGCAAGAGCAGGGCGCAATAGAGGAACACTCCACCTCCTTTTATATGTCTTGTATGAAGCGAATGATAGAAGTCACCTAGGAGGAAAGGCACGGGGTTTCCGGTCACGAAAATTTCCACAGCTGCTTAGTCCACAAAATTTTCCCCATTTGGAAACATCACGATTCCATAGACCAAGAGTGCCAAAACTGAACCACATACTTCCCATTTCTCTTCTTTGGCATACTTCCATGCTTGTTCTTCTAAGAATTTCCTCGAGAATCCTCTAGCTCCTTTGGGTGCCCAATTGGCTATCACGTCTCCTGTGGGAATCCCTAAGGCAGAAGCCACTTTCTTCAAAGTGAATTCTTCTTTGAGCTTTGGAAAAGGATTACGATCTTTGATGGAGAGGTTCAGAATCTCTCAAATTCTTCCAAAGTGGGAGCTATTTGAAAATCAGCAAAGGTGAAACAACGGAGAGAAGTGTCATAGTACTGAGCCAAGGTTGTGAGGGCTTCAAATTTTATCTTCTCTGTTAACAAATCTAAGATTCTCCCATAAGAAGAGTGAAATTTGTTGTGCTTGATGGGGGTGATCTTGGCACTCAGAGCTTTCAGACTGTCAATTGAAGGATCTTTGTATTTGAAAGTGAAAGTACTTTTTCTGTCGGCCTTCTTGTTTAATTTCATCGTCCCTAGATTCACATTCATCATGATTGCTTGTAAAAAATGCTTATATCTGCAACAAGAACAGGACACTAAGAGCTTTATTTTTATGAAGTATGTATGTATGAGCGGATGCATAAATGGAATCCAAGCACATGAGTCTGAGGTATGGAGATAGCCGATACTGACTGCTTTATAAATAGGTTCTCACAAGGCGTGATATATGTGTTGCACCCTAAATTTTGACCAACCTTTTTCTTAATATTTGGCTTATGTTTCATTGTATCTTGCATTTGCATAGCATAGTTCTTACATGGGATCAAGTGTTTGTTTGTGTTTCCTATCCAAGAGGAGAGCCTTATTGTCCATAAGCTCAAGCAAAGGCACACGTAAAAGCCATCAAGTGGGTGTTATTATCAGGGACCATCATAAGGTGGTCAGGGGGTCCATGAAGACTTATTGTTGGTTTGATCATGAGGTAGAGGTTTGTTGAGTACCTCAGAGGTCATGGTGGAGTGGGAATGGTCGCTCAGTTCATCTGCACAATGCTTAGGCAAAAAGGATGAAATTAGGGTTTCACTTTTAATCAGGCTAAATTTGTTTTTTGAGAAATACTTGTTTCCATGGTCTTCCATATGTGCTAAGGTGTTTGGGGATGGGAGATTGACCATCAATTTTCATCAGAAGAGCTTCAGTTGACCAGTTGATTGAAAATCAAGAGATTTGAAGAAAAGTCAACTGTGTAGTGAAAAAGTCAACTCCTGACTTTTTGAGGTCAAGATCATAATCCTTAATTTCAATATAACCAATGGATGGAATTCGATCAAGAAAAGTCAAGGGAATCATGGAAAATCAAGAGTTGTTGAAAGTTTCTATTTTGGGATTTAATGTTTTAGAAACATTCTATTTTTGGAAAGTTTTATGGTTGAAGCAGCCATCTTCAAGGCTATTTTTCTTCATGATCAAGGTTTAAAATGAACCTCTGGCCAACATCAAAGTTGTTCCCTGTATTTCAAGCATTCTTTTGAGTACCAATTCATAATCATATGATATTTGGAGCTCAAGTTATGATCAATCAAAGTTGGGGATTTTAATGATTTCAAAACTGTCAAGTTTGGACAGATTTTTGCACCACTTTGCAAGCCAAATTCCATCAAGCTCTTGATGTCAAATGAAACTTTGTCCCAAATGAAAGTTGTAGAGTATTTTACAAGCTTTCTAAAAAGTCCAAGAAGTCCTCAATATGATTTGTGAAGCTCAAGTTATGGATGTGCAAAGTTGAGGAAAAATAAGTCAAATCTATAACTTAGAATTTTTTCTAAGTTATTTCATGAACAGTTGCTTGCCACGATTTTCAACCACAAATTTCATGATCTTCCAATCCTCAAATCAAGATGACTCCAACATGAAATTTGTTCTACTCCATGCCCTCTTTCATTTGAGCACAAGATCAAAGCAATTGGATTTGTGTGCACAAAGTTATCATTGCTCAAAGTTGGTACATTGAACATGTTTTCCAAGGGTTGAAATTTGGATTTTGCTGATTCATCTTTGTTTATCAGCCCTAGCACTCTCCCATGCGCATGGGATGTTGTGTTTTGTTGCTTCCAAGCTTTGCCAAAACTAGCCAAACATCCATTTTGCCATTTTTCTTATTTTCAAATAAATTGCCCAAATGAGCTATGAGTCAAAATCAACACAACCCGAGGTCTTCCCATACTGTTGCAAAGAAAGCAACTGATGCAGTAGCTGCAGCACAATTTCTACATCCACCATTGATTTAAAAAAAGACCATGGAGATGAAAATCTGCCCATTCATTTTCTTGCCTTGGTCAAACCCTCTAAACCTGATTTTCCTTCAATATTTAAGCTAAGCATCAGTCCACGCAAACCCTAGCCTCCACTTTGTGCAAAAAATCAGAATTTGAGTTTTTTGTATCCTTTGACTCAAACCTGCGAATCTCATTCATTCTTGAACATTTTCCCAAGTTTCCTTCCACTCCATACTCTCCATACCACAACCTTACTACTGCTTGCATAAAAAGAAGAGTTTCTGATACTTTCTCTGAAACTGTTCTAAAAAAATCAACTATTGCTTCAAGAGGGGAAGAAATATCAAAGTCTGCTAAAAAAGGGGGATAATTTGCTGCTAGTTTGGTTTAGGAAGTCTTCAAGAGGTAAGTTATTTCTAAACCCTCTGTTTCATGTACATAAATGTCATTAAAGAATGTTTGAGTTGTGCTTGTGTTCTTGGTTTTTGGTTAAGTGTCATTTAAAATGATTGATGTATATTATGATGACCAGTCTGTGGTTTTGGGATGTACAATATTTTTGTATTGTTTTTTTTGCAAGATTTTATCATGAGAAATATGTGTTGAGGTGTTTGGTTGATAGTTGACATTTTCATGCCAGTTTTGTCTCTATTGATGTTTGATTCATGTTTGGTTTGTTTTTGGTGTCTATGTTTGCTGTCATGTGGAATTGGTAATTGTTATGGAAGCCATTGGCTTAAGGCATGATGATTGGAAACAAGAATGCCTCTTTCTTCTTTGTTTCTTAACTGTTGTTATCTTAAGACAGTTGTTGGCCATATTGTTGAAATGATTCACCCAATGTTGTTGGAGCATTTTTTGGATTATGATGATCAACACTGTCAATTTACTTTGTTGGTTGGCATGGTGACTGTTTTTAGGATCTTATGCTAGAGTTTGTTTGGCATTGGTTAGGTTGAAATGACTCATACAAGGTTTGTTGAAACGTACCTAGACCTTTGAGGA